AGGGCAGAAGAGTGGCCATGAGAGGTACACACAGCGCAAGTCAGCGCATGGTGGCCGCCGAAGTGGTGAACCTGCAATTCAGTGTTCATGGCAGACCAGTCCAGTCTGGAGTTATAAAAGGAAATGTATGAGGCAGCCTTAGCCGAAGAAGCTTTGTGATATTCATAAAAAAGCGTACCGCCATAACGCTGTCTAAAGTCCGCCATCATAGACAAATACAGGTCCAGCTCCTCCCTACAGTCAGGATAGACTTGGTGTCAGCAGAGAAGCCAGATTAACGTCCTTACCCTGAAGGATATCAGACCGCAAGCGAGATGAAACAGCTACTGCAGCAGGGGGAATGAAGGGCCTACTCAAGGCCTGCGCAGGCACAGCGGTGAAGAGACTGAAAGAAGGCAGTGACGAGACAGCAGAGCCACGAGGAAGCGGAGCAGCCAGAGCCACAGAGTGAGCAGAAGCCAGGACGGCCACAGCAGAGGTGGAGGGCCAGGGAGATCCAAAGTCAAAGGCAGACCACTCCCAGAGCAGAGTCCGCAAGATCCTGAATCACCTGAACCATTTGGGGATCCGGGGCAGTTGGAGCCTGAGGGACCGGAGGCGGTGAGCGGGGGTGGGGTCGGAGTAGCAGGAGAGCTGCAGGTCCTCTTCACCCAGCAAGGAGAGGAAGACTTCGCTGAACGCTTCCTTCTAGCTTTCGTGGTGAGCAGGGCACCATGAAAACAACAGGGGCGACACCATCGAAAGGAACGGGAGGGCAGCCCAAAGTATTAGCAGCCAGTAGAAGGAGATCACGCATCGACAAACCGCTTGCAACTGGAATGCCGTGATCACTCAGTAGCTCTCGGACAGCCAAGGATACCAGGGAGATTCCAGGCCATGAATGCAAGCACTCCTGCGCATAGATGTCGACGGAGATGGGGCAGCAAGCTCACCGTCTGAGTCAGAAACATGCAAACTGAAACTCGGAGTGAGACACGTCGGCTACGTGACTGGAATGACGAAACGTCAGCATCTGAAAGCGGCAAAGTCGTTGTGTAAGTCGAGTCATTTTAAAGACAGTTGGATGCTTGTGATTGGTCAGAGTAATGAGTGACATAGCATTGGAGTCTCCCTGGCAAAACTTGCACTAAAGCTTTCATTTCTATATTTTCCAACTTATAGAAGGGGCTAGTTGTTTAGCCACACTGCACTCGAGCATCACACAGGCCTGCAACATTTTTTTTTTCGGTGTGTGTGAGAAAGAGAGTGTGTTTGTGGGCCCACACTGAGTTAATACTGTAAAGGTTTCTCGTTTTGGTTATGTATACTGTTATGTATACTATGAATAGCTTACAAGCTTGAACTGCTGGTGTTGTTCACTTCTGGAGCAGAGCTATTTTGACTAGACTTATAGATAGAGCTAATTCAGTTTTAGTCACAAGCTTTAAATTGATATTTGGGGTGTTCCTTTTTGTCTGTTTTATGTAATCATTTTCTTTCTTTCTGAAACACCATTGTTTTTTTTATGAATTTGCTGTGCTTTTGGAACAGTAAATAATCTTGGTTTAATTTCAAAAGGAAAAAAGGACAAAAGAGTAAAGCGCAACAATAATTTAACTCTATTAATGTGTCTGGTTTAGTTATTTCTCATCATATACACTAATCAAGCGAATTGAATATTTTTATTTTGGGTTAGGTAATCCTTATACATTTTTGTTAAAGCTACGAACCCATGGCCCCGTCCTCTATATTTTAAACTACTTTTGGGTGCTTAGAGAATAAGAGTGTTACATAAAATGGAGGCACCACTGGGATGAAATAGAAGTATAACTGTTAAACCAGACGCCATGCTTTACCTTAGCCTATAAAATAATAAGTATTACAGCCTCAAACATTATTTGACATTATTCGTTTTACCAAGTATAAGCTCTATCTACTTTTAGTCAGATTTTAAGACACAACTTAAGCCAGTTGTTTACAGTTTGAGCAAATTACAAGTTAGCCACAACCCAGAGTATGGTGCAGCTTCGTCACTGGTGCAAAGGGGAAGGCATCAACCCTGATGATGCCTTGTTAGCAGTTAGATGGTTGGATAGAACAAGCTCGTCTCATGGTCGTGACCTGTGAACGACCAGATAAAGAGAAAACGTTGTAAATTATGGAGAGTCTAAAGGGCCCAGCATCTGAGATAGCCCAGGTAGTTTTAGCAACCCTGATGCATCCCCCCCAAGAGTATACTGACACCATTGAAAATGCATTTGGCACATCTGAGACTGGGGAGGAACTTTATTTTGCATTCAGGCTCCTTTGCCAGCATTCAGGAGAAAAACTCTCAGTTTTTAACGTGTATTGAGAAAAGCTTGAACAGAGTCGTACAAAGAGGCGGACTCCCAGCCTTGGCTGCTAATAGGGCTCATCTGGATCAGCTCATTAAAGGGGCCACTGGATCTGACATGATGATACTGACTCTCAGGCTGAGAGAGCGGGGGAACAGACCAACTAACTTCCTGCAGCTGCTGAATGAAATTTGCCTGGAAGAAGGCTATGAGGCTTCATGATACAAGTTGAATTCTACAAAGAAGTCAGTCCAAGTGCGAAAAGGAGTGTGATGACGCAAGCAAACCATGAAATGCAAGATCTTCAAGCTGAGATAAGACTATTGAGACAAGAGGCTGGTGATTACACTTCTTTGCAGTCAACACCTTTGACATTAACTGTTGAACCCAATGTGGCAGTCAAACTTCTGAGTCTCTAAAAAATGAAAAGGACTTGAAAGCTTTAAAAAAAGAGGTGAAGAAATTGAGGAAACAGATAAGTGTCATGACTATTAAGCCAGCTACTGAGAAGCCAGCTCATAAGCAGCTGCCCTCTGTCAATCAGTCAAGCTCTTCCCCACCCCTGGGCCCTAGTGACTTTTTCTGTTACCACTGTGGAGAGGACGGGCATGTTGCTGTAAAGTGTCAGGCTCCAGAAGACCCTCAGAGAGTGATTCAGAAATTCATCCGTGCATGGCGCATGGGGAAGGATGACAAGATGGAATCTGGGGCTGAGCTGGGGATGGGTCCTCCAAGATTCATGTAAATAGAGTGGTCATCAGTGGGAAAAATAACAGCGTAACAAGAAAGTTAGTAGGACCCCCTTCTCTAGCCCAGGTGAAAGTTGAAGGTAAGAATTGTCCCACCTTACTTGACAGTGGGTCACACATAACTATTGTCTTTGACAGCTGGTATACCAAGCACTTAGCTCACATATCTCTTCATCCATTAAGTGAGTTAGCCATTTGGGGTCTGAGTGGCTCTGATGACAATTATCCTTACAGGAGCTACATACAGGTTGAATTAGAGCTCCCAAAGAAGGTGGCTGTCCATTGCTGTCTTAGCTTTGGTATGCCCTGACCCCCAGTGTTCTGATGAGATACCAATTCTGGTGGGCACAAAATCCATCCTGTTGCCCCTGTTCTTGAAGAGGGGTCCAGTGCAGACCAGGTGTGCTCCATGAGAGTATGTGCCAATACATCCAATTCAGATCTGTTGTTCCAAGCTACAAGAGCTGCTGGTTCTGCCAAGGACAAAGTGGCTAATGTCAAATGGGCTGGGTCTGGTCCGTTGGTTATTCCAGCCACAGGTGAACACATTGCAGGTTCAAGAAACTAAGTCATTGGGTAATAGTATCCTCCTTACATAGCGTGCTTCATCCCTTGCTCTCCCCACTGTGTACTCCTTCCGGCGCCGCTGTGAGTGGCAGCTTTTCCAGTAACTCTGTCTTTTGTGTATTGTTTTTGCACTTTTTCCTTATTTTTTCTTTTTCTGTATGTTTATACTGCTAATTTAGTGACTGTTTTATATGTGCTAAGGACATGAAACCTGTTTTCATGTGTGGGCAGAAATAACTTTGTTTATACAAAGGAAGAGCAGCTAGCGCTCCACACAAAGGGTCGCACCCGCACAACGCACCCCATTCTGGAGGAGCTGTAGAGGAGCTATCGGGGTTGCAGAGCCGGCGCTAAGCTAAAGGCTAAGCGCATGTTGGAGAAACATTGGAGGTATAAACCATCTGTTCCTCCGGTGGTGATGGGGAATGTGAACTCTTTGGCCAACAAGACAGACAAACAAGCGGCACTGGTTCGTAATCAGCGGTTATACCAGGAATGTATTCTTTTATGTCTCACGGAAACGTGGCTAACCGGCAACATTCCCAATGCTAACGTGGACATTCCCGGATTCACCACTGTGAGAGCGGACAGGGACGCTAAACTGAGCGGCAAAAGCAAAGGTGGGGGACTTGTGCTTTTTGTGAACATCAGATGGTGTAACCCAGAAGTAGTTATTAACCCCGGTAAATGTCAAATTGATTTATGAGTTATGCCTGACGTCACGTGTGAAATATGTAAAGTATTTTCCCAGGGGGTTGATGTGTATAAAAATGTATGGTGTGTGTGTGTGTGTGTGTGTGTGTGTGTGTGTGTGTGTGTGTGAATGCTTTTTGATAACTACCCGAGGTTTGCCCGGTATGATGCGTGGGAATAATTTTCAAAAGATTCCCAGAATGTGTCAGACCGTCTAAGGCTCAAGCTGGATCTCCGGTCTTGAATTCCTTGAGCAAATGGCGCTATCGCACATTCATTCGGGACAACTTCCAAAAGCGTGGAATACCTTATTTCATGTGGCCAAACAGCCTAAAACGACTGAAACTGAAGGAGCAGCCCCTGAGGACCAGTCAAATTTTGAGCGCGAGGAAGGCCTGCGTTCGCAATGACATACCTAGACACTGCTGGCCCCGTTCGATTCGGGAAGAAAACGATGTTACACCTTCGCAGAACAAAAAGCAGGAAATCGACAGATTCAGAGCGGACGACAGTCTGTTTAAACCGAGCATAAAGAGGAGATGTCTTTCGATGACGTATTTGACAATTTTGCCGAAAGAACCCCGGCTGAACAATCGCTACATCGTTTTTCGTCAGAGCAGACTGTTTCACAGTGACAAGCCGACTGAAGTCTCCATTTCTGAAAATGAGTTGTACCTGTTAAACCAGACCGTCCCGAAAACGAATGAAGTGGGGGAATTGCATGCTATGATCTTACAGGCCAGAAACAGGTCATGCATGGTTCGCGACACAAAACACAAGACCGAACTGTCCAGGTCAGCCACAATCACACTGAAGGTCAGATCCGCGCATTAATTGCGTCAAATCACCCTGACCATCACAGGGCTCAAGACCACTGAGTTTACCTACAGAGTTCGACTGGAAGTGTGCACGTCACCTGTGATAAGGCATGAAAACGTGTGCTCCAGCGATGATGACCAGTGGGTTTTTTATTTTGCCCCTACTGAAAAAGAAGAGCACGTCCAGCTGATTGAAATAACTTCGCGGGAGAGCGAACTACTGGATATTTATCACGCGATCAAACATGTTCTGACAGGTAAGAAAAACGCTTTTTTTCTTAAGAATTCATTTTGACCGTTTGAGGTACCGTAGTTTGTGAATATAAGCCGTGAAAAGGGTTATACCGTTTCAAGTTGCAGCGTGTGGCCGAAGAGTAAGCATGTACAAGCCCGTTAAACCTTTTAACGATTTTCTCTCTCTATCACCAGCCAGCGTAATATGCGGTTGCGACAGCTGTCATATTCCACGCCCGACAAGTCTGATGTCTAAATACCAACATGACAAAACAGCGATGCGCATGTGCGAGGACATGCCCAGCGGGAGAGATTGGGGGTGTTCCCCCACTCACCAGCCAGAGCACGATGAAGAGAGTTCTGATCTAGACCTCGTGGAACGTAAAAAAAGCGGTCAGATTCGACCAGCGCCAGCGAGGTAGAAGAAGAGGAAGTCTCCGGCGTGACCGATCTGGACAGCGATGAATTTATCGTGGTGGACGAGGACGGCTTACAAAGCCGACCTTCTTCGCCGGCTGACATCGAGCAGCGTGAGAGAGAGAACGCGAGCGCTTTCTCAGGAACGGGGTCAAAATGTCAATGCGAGGAACCTCTTGACGCCGGCGCCAGCTCGGAAAGTCAGAGCGAGAAGCCTTCGGACCCCAGTCTGAAGGACCGAGCCACGAAAATTGTGGAATTTATCTGGGCAAGAGCGATCATCCTGGCTGTTCGTGAATGGGTCACGAGAGATTGCGCTGGGTGTCAAATTGAACACCCATCACAGAGACAGCACAGTTGCGTGGAAGGCGTCCCCGTAAGCTTTCTGGACAACGAGTTAAAGCAGAAGTGGCTGAATACCATTCCCGCTTGTGAATTGGAAATAAAAGAGTCTCTAAAGCAACACTTTGAATTAGAAGAACCTCATGATGGTTTTGTAATAAACATTTTGCGTAGAATTTACACGCTGGCGCAGGAAAAATTGAGTGAATATAACCCGCTGTCCGAGTACCTGAGCAGAGATCCGTCCGAAATTCTGAGCCCGTTCTACATGCGGCCGGATGAACCTCTGAACAGCGCTGCGGAATCAACGGCCGCCGACGTGTGTAAAATTCTGATGGGGTCTGAGGATGACAGATCGGTGTAGTGATTTGCGAGAGAGATTGTGTATTTGTACATAAGACATTTATGACACCGATGTTTTTTTTGCTGCTAGTAAGTTTATACATTGTATTTTTTTTATTAGACAAACCATAAAACATTATTATTATTAGAAAAAACTGGGACCTTTTTGTTTTATTAAAAAACACCACATGTTTTTCATTTAATATTTTAGTCGTTTGAGTTTGTGTAATTGTTTATAGCACCTTTATGACATCTTTTGATCGCTGCTAGTAGTTTACATATTTTTTGAACCCCTTTTGTGCATGTTTATTAGACAAACTGTATTGTCTTTTCATTTTAATATTTTAAACCATGTAATCATTTTAATATTTTTAATAGTGTAATCATTTTAATATTTTTAACAGTGTAATCATTTTTATTTAAATGTTTTAAATAGTGTAATCATTTTTTTTTCATATGTTAGTAGAAATGTGTAACCTTTTCATTTTAATATTTTAAACCATGTAATCATTTAAATATTTTTAACAGTGTAATCATTTTTTATTTGAATGTTTTTAATAGCGTAATCATTTTTTATTTGAATGTTTTTAAGAGCGTAATCATTTTTATTTTCATATTTTAGTAGAAATGTGTAACCTTTTCATTTTAATATTTTAAACCATGTAATCATTTTTTTATTTTCATATTTTTAATAGTGTAATCATTTTAATATTTTTAATAGTGTAATAATTTTTCATTTTTATATTTTATACTTCAGTGTTCATCACATTTAGTTTGAAACTAATTTACCTATATCTCGAACTAACGGTTTGTCAGTAGATTAGATACTAACAACCAAAAAAATTATAAAAGAAATAAACCGTTTATAACAAACACATAAAACCTTTAAACAAAAAAATAAAAAAACATAAAAACCTTTTGAAGTCGTTTTCTGTCATCAGTTTGTTTTCTCCACATTTTATTTTAGACTGTGTTTTACCCAGAAGAAAATATAAAAACCCTAACGTGTTTCACACCTAGACCATTTGGACATGTTTCAGACGGCACTGCAAGAGTTGTACCATAAACCCGGGTCGGAAGGCGGTCTGTGTGGTAGGGAGCCCTTTATCAAAAGCGTAAGGGAGGTGGGGTTGGCTAATAAAAATAAAGATGAAATTGATAGGTTTTTACAAAGTTCAGACACTTACACGCTACACAAACCCAGAAGAATAAACTTTAAAAGGAGTTTCGTACTGGCGTCCGAAAGAGATTCACAATGGCAGTTAGACTTGGCAGATTTATCCTCTCTATCGGAACACAACGATGGGAAAAAGTTTATTCTAACATGCATAGATGTGTTTTCAAAATACGCGTGGGTGGAGCCGTTGGAAAATAAGAACGCCAAGAGCGTAACGAAGGCCTTTGATCAAATACTTTTACGAGGTAGAAAACCCGTAACTCTTCAAACTGACAAGGGGCGAGAATTTTGTAATCATTTATTTAAAAAACTTTTAAACAAATATAAAATAAGACATTTTTACTACGGCTAGCGAATTGAAAGCCTCTGTGGTGGAGCGATTTAACAAAACCTTCAAAACGCGGATGTTCAGATATTTTACAGGTTTTAACACCTTGAGATATTTAGATGTGCTTCAGGAACTAGTGAGCGCTTACAATCGTGCCTTCCACAGATCCATTCAAATGCGTCCCGAAGAAGTGAACGAGGGCAATCAGATACAGGTGTTTCATCATCTGTACGGGAAAATAATTTAAAATAGGTGACGCGGTTCGGATTTCGAAAGAGCGCAGGGTCTTCACGAAAGGTTACGAACAGTCTTTCACGGATGAATATTTTTTTGTGGATAAAATTATTAAACGAGACCCGCCGGTATATAAACTAAAAGACCTCGATAATGAAATAATAGAAGGTTCTTTTTATGAAGAAGAAATGCAGAAAATTATTGTACCTGAAAATAAAGTCTATCGTGTAGAAAAAATACTGGCTAGGAAAAAACTAAATCCGAGGTTCTCGTTAAGGTGAGATGGAAAGGTTGGGATAAAAAATTTGACTCCTGGGTAAACGAAAATTCTATCCAGGACGCTCGATAAAAACCCCGTGAGAGAGCGGCGCGAGCCCTATTCGGAAGCGCGGACCCCCACCACGGAAGAAACTAGAGATTTTTTCATCACTCTGCCGAGTAACGCTAGCGACAAATTATACCCTCAAAACGATATATCCAGCTACAGGGTGAAGTTAGCCAAAACCGTTCACCTCAGGGGCGGTTGGGAGGTCGGCTTAGCAGAAATTTCATTTCCCCAGAGTTGGTACACGCTGGCGGACGGCGGGCGACAGGAAACGGACTTTTGGGTGTGCGAAGGGCCGGATCTCAGTAAACAGGTGGCTTTTAAAGTAAAATGCGGTTATTATACTTACATCGCTGACATTTTGACTGAAATTAACAAATATTTTAGAACCACCAAAACCTACGTCGAATTATATTTGGATAAGGTCACGAGACGGGTAAAATTAGGGGTCACACCGGAGGAGATTATACGACTGACCTCGCTGAACAGATGGCCTATTCGGATTCGAACGCACGGACAGTTGGCGCACATTCTGGGCTTCGAGGAACAGAAGTGGACTGACCCGACCGAAACTAAATTCCCTGCCCATATTAAAGGCGGAACGTTTTATTTGTTTCTTTATTCGGATATTTCTTCGCATCAGATTGTAGCTGATACCTTAGCACCTCTTTTGCGAACCGTTCAAATACCCAAAGCGCATCTGGATTTCGTCACGCTAAACTTTGACAAGGTGCACTACAACCCGCTCAGCAAACACGTCTTTGATGAAATTTTAATAGAGTTAAGGACGGATCAAAACCGAAACGTCAAGTTCGAATTTGGAAAAGTGATCGTGAAGCTACATTTTAGACCGATCCGATAAAAAATGTCTGCTTATCACGCCGACCCTAGCCCCTACGTCCTCTACTATACGCGACAGGCGGGGTCCGGTTTAGAAGGTTTCAGCGGAGCGCCCGTGCAGTACGGAAGAGGGATCGGCAACGTTTTTCGGGGTTTGTTTAGACTGGCGGTGCCTCTGCTAAAATCGGGCTTCAACTTGGTCAGACCGCACCTCAAGACCGCTGCTAAAAATATCACGAAAGACGTGGTTTCTGCAGCGGCGGGGAAATTACTGGGAAACGCGTCGGAAAGGCGGCAGGAGGGGGAAGGCCTGGTGGTTTTGAGCCGCGCGAATCGACGCATACGCCCGCCGGGGCGTCGCGGTTCCGTACCTTTTAAAAATAAAAGCGTTTTTTCAAAAGGCCTCAGTCTGAACAGGAAGCTGGCGGGTGCGCTCGTCCGCGCCTCTCGTTTAAGGAATAAGAAGAAAAAAAAAGAGCGAGCGGAAAACCCGTGCGGGTCCCGACATATTTTAAAAGATGTCTCTCATACACAGCGCCTCGGCGGAATGCATGAAGTCCGAGCTGGACCTATTTACGATCCCTATGACGCAACACAGTATAGAATCCTACAAATATGTAGAAACGCCACCGATCACGGCCATCACCGAAAACGGCCCCCTGGAATTTTTTATAGCGGGGTCGGGGTACACCTACGTCGATCTGAACCGTTCGCTTTTGTACCTCACGTGCAAAGTTACCAACGCGGACGGAACCGATCTGGCGGCCGGCGCGGCCTTAGGTTTGATCAATTACCCCGCGGCCACTCTTTTTAGCCAAGTCGACCTGTCCCTCGGCGATAAGCTCATTTCTCAAAGCGGTTCCACGTACGCCTACAGGGCCGTTCTGGAGTGTTTGCTTAACTATTCCGAACCTACTCTGAATTCGCAATTCGCAGCGGGGCTGTTTCGCAAAGACACGGCGGGGCGCATGGACGAAGCTGACCCGAACAGAGACAATGAGGGGTTAACGTGGCGAAGCGCTTATTGCGAAAGGAGCCGAACGTTCGAATTAATGGGACATTTGCATAACGACTTTGCATTTCAGGAAAAGTATCTTTTAAATTCTGTCGCCGTGAGAATCAAGTTAGTTCGTAATAAAAACGAGTTTGTCTCCGGATTAACTGTAAACCGCTTGACCTTCAGAGAAACTTGCCCGCCGGCTGTGACGAAACAATAGCTTTTGGGTCCTGTAGACACAAATTCCTTGATATAATCTCCATCCGTTAGCTGATTCGACAGATCACCGAGATAAAACCCCGTGGGAGGAGTGTATTCCCCCGGTTTCGCCGTGAACATGACAGAATCCGTATCAAAATATAACACCC